TTTTTTTTTTTTTTTTTTACTTCAGACACCCCTGGTTAAACCATAAGCCTTAACTGCTCTCATAGGCATTGCCTGACAGGTTTAACTCTTGGAGCGAACTCACTGTTGAGAACAATAGATTTAATTTATTGAAATTTTCTAAACTTGCCAAGTTGCTTGTTTATCCCTTCATTTTTTTATATGCATTGGGGATTTGAGTTGACCTTCTGGAAAAATGTCTTTCTTGGTACCTTTTTATGATGCTCATACAGTGATTTTTCTTCCCGGAATTGTGCATTCATTCATTCTTATTTGTGGCTGCACATACATGAACTGTTTTTGAATACTAAAAAAAAAGCATCAGCCAAGGTTTAGAAAAAAGTTAGATCTTTTGATTACATTGTGCATGTGTTTGTCAGAATCCTTCTTGTGAACTGCAGGTGTGAGTTTGTCACGTTGACACTGAAAACATGTCATGAAAGTAACCTATAGCCAAAACCTCCACTGAAGAGTAATTCCTCACACTTCGTCTTTTAGTCGTGATTAAATGTTGGAGTTAAATTGCCTTCTCAGGGATTGATTTTTATTTGTATTGTTCTCTGGTAAAAGTCTAGGCATCCATGTCACAGCCTAAACTATGACGAGTCACGTGGGTTTTTTAGTTGCCTAATAACTAATTTCTAACCTCTTGTTCTTGTGCCATTTATGTGATGATACCTCTCATTTGCGGAGTGCAGAAAACAAGGAATAGCTGGAAATTCTGTCCCACTCCTCTGCTATTTATAGTTATAACTGCATCTTGTATTTGTAATGCACTGTCTAAATTTATGGGATTACATAAATATCAACACCCTTGTAAAAGTTGTGTGTCTTAAGAATACATGTGTAGAATAGATTGAAGCAGCAATCATACACTTTTTATACTTCCAAGGCAGATGATTCATTCTTACCATGATGGTCCCACAAGGCATCTCATTCTTACTAACTTGTATATGGCTTTTTACAGTTTTATTGCAATGAAAATAACAGCAAAAGAATCTTAATCATAGATAACTTGGCACTTGGGCAGAACCTGGTTTCTGAGTCGATTGCTGCCACAGCTCTTGAACGCAAGGGTAACAGCTGCACATGTGCAGTGAACAGAAACGTATGTGATTTTTCTCTGAAATTGCACTTTAACATGCCCCTGTCCCTACTGAGTTGATGGCAGACCTTTCTACTGCAGGCCCTGGCCCTCTGTTAGGAAAGCTTTAATCTGAATTCATTATATTCTTGTCACTCTGGATTTAAGAATATTAAACTTTCACACACAAAAAACCACTTTGTCAGAAGGAAATCTTTTGAAAGTCTTTTTCCATGTGAATTTGAAGATAGAGGTTTCTTTTGGGGGAGATCCGTACAAGGCCAGCATGGCATAAATCAACAATTGAATGATTTGTTAGGAGTTGTACTGCATACATGCAAAACTGCGGTTAGCATTTTCGGGGTGAACCATTTCTGCTGACGTTTATAGCAGATGCTCGGAGACATATGGTGCTGTCACATTAAAGTATGAATTGCGGTCTTGGTCAACAAATCAAAGTTCTCTATCGCTTCCTCTCCCCTACTTTTTTTTTCCTGTTCTAGGCCATGCTCAGGCATTGCATCTTCCTTCCTGATATTCCAGAATGTATTTTCTTAGTACTTGCATTCCTAGCCAAAGGCTGGATTAAAGCTGCCATAATAACCTTTTTTTGATACTGTCAAATGCCTCCAGGCTTCTCCTGTCCCCAGAACTTTCACATTCTAGATTGAGAGGTGGGTTTTGTTTACTCCTCCTTTCTATTTATGCCTCTCTAACTGTGTAAGGAGGAGCCTATTGCATTTGACATGTTGCAGGAACTGTTATCTTGATTTATTGTGTGTTTTGGTGGGTTTTGTTTTGTTTGTTTGTTTGTTTGTTTTTAATTTTTGCAAGACTGTTGAAAAAATGCTCTACTTCTCAGGCTTTGTGACTCACTTTAGATAAAAATATTCCAGTGGCAACCTTCACGCTTCTGAAATTTTATTTTTATCTTTCTTCTTTGATAGCTTAGCCTACTGAAAATGTAATTGTGGGTGTCTAGTTTATAAATTCAGTACTCTTGGGCTTTTTTTGTTTATTCTGTTTGAAATCCATCTCACTTACTGAGCCAGAACAGTTGAAGAAAAAAATCAGATTTCATAGTTTTTTAACCTAGAGTCAGTTTTTGTATTAGTGATGCAATTTAGGCAATCTGTACTTTACTGTGATCAAAGTCACTTTTGCTCCAGCACAGTTGTTCCTGTCCGAGACTAGGAGGAGGAGGAAACAAGTGTTGTGTTTTTTCTAATCAGTGAGCATTTCCTTGAAGGACTTTGGCAACTGATTTTAAATTTTGATGTCTCACTCTTCACACTGAGAGTATCAGAGGTACAGGAGGGGTTGATTGGCTTTGTTAAGGAGGATGCTGCTGCTTCTGCTATCGTTACTCTGATCCTCTGCGTCAACCCTTTACAACTGGGTCTGTTTCTGTGCTTCCCTTATTTATATGGCCGCTGATTCAAATTGAGCTGTGCAGTCACTATTTAGGTAAAATCTTTTTTTTTTTTTTTTTTTTTTTTTTTTAAAACACAGGAGAGAGAAAAATACAGATCTTAGATGATTAAAAAGCTTTTTGAGGAACGAATACAAACTATTCTGGCAGGTCGTTCTGTCAAAGATAGAAATTCAGCTGGAATATTGCGTTCCCCGAACTATCTGGAAGTGACAGCCTGGCCAGCTATGGGCTGATTCCAGGGTGAAACCACTCTTGGTTATCTTTAAAAGCATATGGCAATTGGTGAAGGTCCCTGTGGACTTAAAGAAAGCAAGAAGGGCAAGAAGCAGGATTTGGAAAGCTACAGGCTCAGTCCATGGGAAGGTAATGTAGCAAATAAACCTGGAAACCGTTTCCAAACTTATGACGAATGAGAAGGTGATTAGGCATATACAGCATGTATGAAGGAGAAATCATCCTTGACCAACCCAATAGACTTCCATGATGAGATGACTAGCTTGGTGGATGTTTATCTTAACTTTAGCAAGGCTTTCAGCACTGTCTCCCGTAACATCCTTATCGATGAATTGATGAAAGCGCAGGCTGGGTAAGTAGACAGCAAGGTAGATTGCAACCTGGCTGAACTGCCAAGCTTGAAAGGTTGTGATCAGTGATGCAAAGCCCCGCTGAAGAGCAATCACTAGTGGGGTACCTGAGGGTCAATACTGAGGCTGATACTGTTGAGCGTCTTCGTTCATGACCTACAGGATGGGACAGAGTGCAAGTTTGCACAAGTTTGCACTCAGCAAGTTTGCAGGTGATGCAAAACTGGGAGGAGTGGCTGATGCAACCAGACGGTTGTGCTGCCATTCGGAGGGACCTCAACTGGCTGGAGAAGTGGGTCTTTGGGAATCCAATGAAGTTCAACAAAGGGAAATAGCAAGTCCTACACGTGGGGAGGAGTAATTCCATGTACAGGTACAGGTTGGGGCTGACTGGCTGGAGAGCAGCTTTGTGGAGGAAGCCTTGCGGTCCTGGAGGACAAGTGGACAAGCAAGCCAGCAATGCACCCTTGTGGCAAAGGTGGCCAACAGTATCCTCGGCTGCATTAGGCAGAGAATTGCTGGGAGGTGATCTTTCCCCTCTACTCAGCCCTGACGAGGCCTCATCTGGAGTGCTGTGTCCAGTGCTGGGCTCTTCGGGACAAGAAAGACACAGAGCTACTGGAGTGAGTTCAGCGAAGGGCCGTGAAGATGACGAAGGGACTGGAGCATCTCTCATAAAGAGAGGATGGGAGAGCTGGGACTTCTCTTGCCAATATGTACAAATATCTAAAGTAGGGGGTAGTAAAGAAGACTGAGCCAGACTCTTGTCAGTGGTGCACAGTGACAGGACAAGAGGCAACGGGCGCAAGCTGAAATACAGGAAACTCCATTTCAACATAGAAAAAAACCCTTTTTACTGTGAGGATGACTCAGCACTGGCACAGCTTGCCTAGGGAAGTTGTGGAGTCTCCATCTCTGGCGATCTTCAACATGCAAGTGGACGTGGCCCTGAGCAACCTGTTGTAGCTGCCTCTGCCCCGAGCAAGAGAATGGAGCAGCTAGTCTCCAGAGGTGCCTTCAAACCTCAACTGTTCTCCGATTCTGTGGGCTGCGGTGCATGTGGTGTTCGATATGATTTCTTTGTGTAGACAGCTGGAAGCTCTGCTCCTACTGAAGTGACAGAGTAGGCAAACCCCTTAGATAGCCCACACGAAGCTAAAGAATTAAAGTTGAAGTCAAATTTTGAAAAGGAAGGTACCAGCTTCCCAACTTTGAGTCAAAGACCTAGATTTGTTTCCAGTGTCTGCCTTTGCATGACCTTGGACTTCAGCTCTATGCATCAGTTTACAGAGAGGGAAGTTAAATGTAATGCTTTAACTCTCCTTGGGAAGTGATCTGAGACAGATGAATGAAAAATGCTATGGAAGTGTTAGTTATTCCTATTACTTGGTGAGGTGAAAAAGAGTTGTGTCACTTTTGGTATTTATTTATTGATGCCGTCTGGAATACCTAAAAGAAACTCCCACTCTTCCTCCTTTTCATTACTCCTCTGGCTTATGTTGTGTGACTCTATTCCGAAGTTGTCCTCTAATTTCTAAATATACCCTTCAGACAGTGGCTCTTGTCTAATAAGATAGCTCTCTTGGCATAATATAGTTTTTCCATCTTTTCTTTGTTGTATACGTAGTTGTATAGACTGTGAGTGGGTACGGACTCCTGTATAAAGCAAATACCAGCCCAATAAAAGCTATAAAGCTAATGTTAAAGCAAATAAAGCTAACAGTGAGGAGCATCTTACATGTTGAAACCTCTAAGTGGTAGCAATAGTAGGTGGTGGTTTTGCAGGAGGGGAGTGCATTTCATCTGAAAAGTTTCTTTTAACTTGTCT